GTGTGGGGACGTCCGCGTGGGGCCTCCACAGTGTGTGGTCTCCGGTGTGGGGACATCCGCGTGGGGCCTCCACAGTGTGTGGTGTCCAGTGTGGGGACGTCAGCGTGCGGCCTCCACAGTGTGTGGTCGCCAACATCCTGCACTCTCTGGAAGCTAACTCTTAGGTGCTCACATTGGGGGAAGGCTGGCTGTGTTTCCCTCCATCTCCTCTGGTGACATCTCCCAAGCCAGGGACATGTGGAAATAAGATCTCATGCCATGATTTCCTGTGACACACAGGTAATCAGCACAAAATCTTTCCAGATGTAGACTACGCTGTATTCTCAAGTCCACGTAAAAACAGCTCCAATGGAACCCGATGGAGACGTCCAGTGGAGACCAAGATGAGCAGGGGCCCACCGCTAGCGCGGCTAAGGAGAGTTAATGCCCACGTGTCAAGGGCTCCTTAGTTCCGTCCCGTCCTTACGTAACGTTCCTGTGTTCAAAACTGAACAAGGCGAAGACCTGCAACAGGGCTCCCAGGAAGCTGAGCTCAGCCCCACGACTGTGAAAAGTAAGAGCAGAGAGACGACTTACCAAAAACAAGGATGAACAGTGTATTCAGAGACACCACCCAGAACACATGCTCCTAAAAGAGAGAGTGTGAATTGAACAGCGTTAGTACCCAGCCCACTCCCAGGGGACGCAGTTCACCGCAGGACGGACACTTTCTCCTCTTTACACCTTTGAAGGAGCTCGGGTGGCGCACGGTTAAACACCTGGCTACAAACCCAACAGCTCGGTAGTTCAAACCAGCCAGACGCTCCACAGGAGGAAGACGAGACAGTCTGCTTCCATAAAGCCCTACAGCCATGGCAACAGCACGGGGCACTTCCACTCCGTCCTAAGGTCACGAGGAGGCAGATCGACCTGATGATCTGGCATTTGGGTTCACAGCTCTGAGGTCTCCACTAGGAAACGGCACACGCTTCTCCCCCCGTGGCTTACAGTGCTAAACTCTATAAAGTCCGCCACATTAAACCCCCAAAACAGTAAAGCCAATCAATCCGTAACCATTTCCTTTAGAATTAATAATCCACCACAGACCACAAAGATGTTCAGAAACACTGGCCAGGCTTCACTGAAATCAAGGCCACTGGGAAATTCCAAAGGAGGACAAGGCGAGAGTCTGACTCGGCCGAATCCACCGGACAGCAGTGAGCAGCACTCCAGGGCCTGGGTGCAGCTCCCACCCTGAGGCCCGGCCAGGTGCTCCGACCACGGCCTCCCAGCTCCCAGCCACTCCTGTCTCCTGGACCTCCCGCCTCCTCTCCCTGTGCTGTCTGGCTTTCTTTGTTCACGTGTAGCATACTCGCCCCACAAGGTCCCCATCCACCCCATGGTTTCCAGGTCAATATTCCCACCCTGCCAGCATCTAGCCAGGCCCACCACCTCCCCTGCCCCACCAAATTTGACGATTCTCCCAGGTAGGGCTAACGTTGAGATTTTCTTCTTACAAAGACTCTGATCTTCCACAAACCTCACTAGCAAGGAGGGGAGTGGTTACTTGAGAGACGTAGCTGGCTGTCCCCACTTGCTATGTGGTCTCACACACATGCCTCACACACAGTACCTCATACTCACACTCACACACACACACACACACACAGCGCATCTCACATACACGGCACCTCACACACACAGCATCTCTCACAAACAGCATCTCTCACACACAGCATCTCTCACACACAGAACCTCACACATGCACACAGCACGTCTCACACAAAATGCCTCACACACACGTCTCACACACAGCACCTCTCACACACACACAGCACCTCACACCTCACACACACACAGAACCTCTTACACAGCACCTCACACACACAGCACCTCTCAAACACACACAGAACCTCACACACAGCACGTCTCACACACACACAGCACCTCACACACACACACGTCTCACAGCACATCTCACACATACACAGAACCTCTCACACAGCACCTCACACACACAGCACCTCTCATACACACACAGAACCTCTCACACACAGCATGTCTCACACACACACACAGCACCTCTCACACACACCTCTCACACACACAGAACCTCTCACACACAGCATGTCTCACACACACACACAGCACCTC